GAAATAAATGCCGTATGACGAAGCCAATGTTGTACGTAGCGCTGAGTAGAGTAACAAAATTATCTGATTTATATATTCTTGGAAGTTTTACATCGCCAAAAAAACCATCAATAAATAATTTATTGGAATTAGAAATAAAACGTCTGAAAAAAGAGAAGTGTCTTAAATTGTCGTATTCCAAAATTATAAAAGAAAACCAAATAAAAATTATTTACCAAAACGTACGGTCACTAAATAAAAATTTGATTAATATATCTTGTGATAAATAGTATAAGCAAGCAGATTTATTAATTTTTGCAGAAACACAAACAATCGCAACAGACAATTTGACATTTGAAGGATTTAATATTATTTTCCGAACAGATAATTATGATAAACGTTTACCAAAAGGAATAATATGTTTTATTAGGAAGGAACTTAACGCATTTATTGATGACCATATACAAAGAGATGAAACTATAAATAGACAACAGCATCATATTGACTTGATACGCATGAACATAAATGAGGTGGAGATCATTTCCGGTTATAAATCTCCCTCAATACCTAGAACTATGTTTACGCACGAATTGAGTAATATTTTAAGCAAATCTGTTAGTAAAAAAAAAATTATAATAGATGACTTTAATTACGACTCGTATAATAAAAGAAGATTTTTAAAGAAACATTTAAATGAATTGCAATTTAAACGTGCAATTAGTACCCAAGTGTCAACTACAAACTTTAATACGCAGATAGATGTGATATTTATATCGGAGGAAATAAAGTGTGCAAGTAGAAACTTGCACATTGTTAAGTGTGCAAGTAGAAACTTGCACATTGGTTCCTCATAGTTTTAAGTGTGCAAGTAGAAACTTGCACATTGTTTCCTCATAGTTTTAAGTGTGCAAGTAGAAACCTGCACATTGCTTCCTCATAATTTTTAAGTGTGCAAGTAGAAACCTTTGCTCACAAGCTTCCTCTATGAGGAACTTTTATTTTATTCGATGTATAATTATTAGTATTTATTTGTTTTGGCTTCGTCATAGAGGAAGTTAAACATGATTTAAAAAACATTATGTTAATATTATATAACGATATATATGTGTATTTATATCCACTTAATATAGAGAATTGCAAAAATAACATTAAATATAATAAATACATATTTAATCACTACATATTTAATAAATTTCAAAAATAGGAAACAATAGTTCTATATTATAACTATTATTACATTTAATGTTATAGCGATTCTCTATATAATACGAATATAAATACACATATGTATATTTGTAAAAAATGAAAGGTTATATATATATATATATATATATATATAGAATAAAAATTAAATTTGTTTTTATTGTCAATTTGTGAATAATTAAGGTATTCCTTTCACGGAGGAACGTATTTTGTAGGCGCTTAAGCAGGGCCTCAGCAAACTCTTGTATATTGCTGAACGGGGATAGTTTCGCCCCGGAGGCAAAATTTGCGATACTCGAAGGACCAGAGGGGGGTTGTCGCTTTCCCCTCACGACTATCAAATGTTTAACGCGAAAGCAGAAACGCATGCAACGAAATATTAAGCGAAGCGACTCACCGTGTCGGCCGTCGTCCCCGTGATTCCGTCAATCCTCGTCCTATCCCTTGAACTTGGCCGCTCCGTGGGTCTCTTTCGGCATGCGGTGGCAAAACTCGTGCAAGCAAGCAAAACGGTGGAGAGCAAGCGATAGAGCAGGCAGGAAAAGGCAGTTGGAGACGTGTGCACTCCCGGTTGAGCAAGGCGGCAAGGGCGATTTCGAGACGCGTTCTGCCCGGCGAAAGCGTGCCGTAAGACGGCTCTTAGAATATGTGTGTGTGCCGCACGGCGGCTGTCCAAAACGTGTGTTTGCCGTAAGACGGCTGACTTGCGAATACTTCTGCTGAGAGGTGTGTCCTCTCCGACTATTTGACGATGCTTGTATGCCGTAAGACGGCTGGCCAAAAATGTGTGTGCCGTAGGACGGCTGAATTGTGAATAGTTCTGTCCCCGCGGTCCTGGAACATGTCGCTGCGGCGAGTAGTTGTTCCCTTTCCGGGGGGGGGGTGGATACCGTCGGCGGATGGGCGATGGCAGCACCGAC